CCGGGTCTCGCGCTGGTGCCAGCTGTGCCCGGGCAGCACCGCGGGGGAGGACAGCAGCCTGCAGCTGCCCCCCAGCCCTGCCCAGCCAGTGTGGCCCGGGCCCTGCTGAGCCTCCCCCCTCATGGTCAGGCAGCAGGAGGGGAGAGGGCCCTGGATAATCCTGCCCTGCTCTACCTGCCCGGCAGCGAGGGCGAGCAGGGCGCTTGGTGGAGGCAGGAGCGGGGCCTGCTGCGCTAGCTCCTGGCGGGTGCGTGCCGCCGGGCCTTGGGCGCCTGGGCTCTGGGGGCTGTTTTGGGGTGGGGAGGAGGTCGCTCATCGGCATCTGGCCTCAAGGGGCTGTTCAGCGAGGCAAATGGCACGCAGTGCCAGGACCCAGGCAGCTCCTGGCACCTCTGCAGTCAGCGCAGGCCTCAGGTGCACTAAAACCAGAGCCTGAGTCTCCACTGTAGCTCCTGCCTGCGGGGCAGCCTCCCAGCCGAGCAATGGGCCTTGCTTCCCTTGTGCTGATGCAGCTGGACAAGATCTGAATTCCTAATGCAGAGCAAGCAGGAGGGAGCCCTGCTGGGTGCAACGCCTCCGGCGGCTGGGCTCTGCCCTGTGGGGCGCAGGGCCGCGCTCTCCGCCTGTTGTGGCCCTCGTGCCTTTTGTGTGGGTAGGGCTGCCAGGAGGCCATGGTACTCCATTGACTCAGGCTCAGCGCTATAGCCCCCACCCTGCTGGTGATCCCCTGTCCCTTCCCCCCTCCTGGGTCCAGGCCAGGAGTGCTAGTACTCGGGGCAGGTGGGATGCTGAAGGCCTCAGCTGTCAGGGGCCTGGCTGGGGGGGCACATAGGCGTGCTGTAATTTCTGTCCGCTTCAAGTGAGTCTGTACAGCACCTGGCACAAAAGGACCCAGGTCCTGACTGCAGCCCCTTGGTGCTGTGGCAGTTCAAGTGCTGAACTCTGCTGCAGGTCGGGCTGTATCTGCAGTGTGGTGACAGGGAAACTGAGGCACGGAGTGGGTGTCTTGCAGCAAGTCAGTGGAAGAGCTGGATGTGAACCCAGCAGTCCTGGTCCTTCCCCTGCCAGGACCACTGCCTCGCCCTGCTGTTGGTCTGGCGCCCCAGAGGCGCGTGGCCGGGGGTGTCGGAGCCGTGGGCTGACCCAACAGCAGGACCAGACGGAGGGTGAGTGGGGCCTGGAGAGCGGGGGTGCCCTCAGCGGAGTGAGGAGGGAGCTTCAGCCAAGGCACAAGGCTGGCTGGCTCTGTACCAGGTTCCTGGCATCCGACGTGTCCATGAGGGAGCGTGCCATGGTTGGGCCCCAGCGTTCGAGCCTGTGTGCAGCAAGCGCTGTATCTCTGGGGCCTGCAGTTCTCGCTGCATGGGAACCAATGTGCTCTGGCCCCAAGGACCTCTGGCAAAGATGGGCATGTCCTGGAGCCTAGAAAGCCCTCTCAGGCTTCGCCCTGCAGCAGCAGCCTGGTGCTGTCCAGGGTCTCCTGATCCCCCGATTGCTAGGGGCCAAGGTGCCGGATGTTGCATTCATTCCTGAGAAGGGAAAGGAAACGCCTGCTGATTTCCTTCCTTTTGCTGGCTGCCTGTGTGGGGAGGGGGGCTGCCCTGGCCTCTGCACCTGAGGCTGCTATGTGGAAAGATCCTTTGCCAAGTGCCTGCCCAAGGGCCAGCCATCCCTAGGAGCTGCCTCCCTGTCCCACGCTGGGGCAGGGGGATGTGCATGCAGCTCGCCCCCTCGCCCCTGCATGGCTCAGCTGGGGAGAGTGGGGTGGGCTGTGACTGGACCTGTGCTTGAGACTGACCTGAGCTCTGTGCTGCATCTCTAGGGGATCATGCGGCTGATCCCTGCTCTGCTGGCCCCAGTGGGCAGTGCCTAGCACTCTCCCAGCAGCCCCCAGCCCCTTTCCCACTCTCAGGGGTGATGGGGATCTTGGGGACCCCACCCCTGCTCTGCTTCCTAGGACTGCACTGGCTGTGTCCCCTTGCCAGGCTGTGCTGGGAAGGTGCTGGGCTGCCTCAACCACACAAATATTTACACAGTTCAAAGGGTTTGTTTCCTGCCCTTGTTCCTGGTTTCCGCAAAACTTAAAGTTAAGGCAAGCACATGGGGCTGGGGTCAGAAGAGGCCAAGTCCCCCCCACCCAAATCCCCTCCATTGCCACAGTCATGGCACACGCAGTTCCCCTCCATGCTCACACACTCTCTGAGTTAAAGGGGTGTCAGGAACTGTGGTGTGAAGAGGAGCGCTGACCTGCATGGTGGGGTAAAGGTGATTGTTGAATTGATCTGGGACTCCCCAGGCATCGTCTGGTTAATCCATGCAGTGGTCCCCTACCTGTTCTCCCCATTTGCCCAGTGGGGAAACTGAGGCAGATGGGTAGAGTGACTTGTCCAAGGCTGCTGAGAACATCTTGTCAGGAGGCGCACCCTGTCCCTGTCTGGTGACAAACTCAGGGGAGTGAGGAGGTTGCGCAGACACAGTGGACAGCAGCCAGCCAGCAATTGCCAGGTCACTGGGGAGCCCCCTGGGTGCCATGCAGAGGCTGAATCCTGCTGGTCTTTACTGCTGTGCTGCTTGCCAGGGTGACTGAAGCAAAAGGTGGATTGTGTTGCTCTCCCCAGAGCCCGTCTCGAGCCTTGGCAAGGCGGGTTCACTGTCTGTGGGGCACCCACTAACACTCATCCTGTAGGATCTGTCAGGAGAAGGCCACTGATCCCTGGCTCTTCTGCTTTGTCCCCGCCAGGTCACCATGATGCGTTTGGCTGCCGTCACTGGGCTGTTCCTGCTCTTCAGCAGGTTCCTGGAGCTCTCCTGGGTGCTGGTGTTCACTGTCCTCTTCATTCTCCTGTTGAGCTCCCGGGGGTGGAAATTTCCCATCGTATTCACCAAGACGATAAGGAGAGATGTCACGTAAGTGTCCTGGGCACATTGGCAGGCAGCACAGACTTATGGAGGGGGAGCTGGGGGCAGCTCAGGTTGGGGTTGCAACCTGTGGGGCTAAGCTGTTGCAGAGCTGGCTGCACCCTCCTGCCAGGCTCTGGTTGAAGGCTCAGCCCCAGCTGAGGTTACCATCAGGCAGCTCAGCTGAGGACAAGGGTTGTCCCTGTAAAGCTGGGGGAAGAGTCACTCTTTTGGACTCTGCAATCCCTGGCAGAGGCTCCCAGAGGGAGAAAGCATTTCTGCTGAGGTCTAGCAGCTGGCTTTGACCTTGGACTCCAGCCCAGCCTGCAAAACACTATCATGGCATGCAGTTTGTCCCCTGGACCTGGTGCTATGACTGGTGCCGGGAGAGCTCAGGAAATGTGACAGACTTGGAGATGAGCCAGCTTGGGGGCGGGTGAGGGGCTTAGGGAGGAACAGGGGCCCCTGGGCTTATTGTGGAGTGTTAAGTGCCCTGAGATGGCAGAGCTGCTCATTTGGGCCAAGGAGCACTCCTTGTGGCAGCACTCCAGGCTGAGGCAGGGAGGGGAGCTGTGTCCTAACCTTGCCCCAGCTTCCAGGCCTCTTGGGCAGGTTGTCTCAGTGCCCTGTGCAAATCCTCCCACCCTCAGACATGGTGCGAGGGCACTGCTTTCTCCGTGCCATGCAGTGTCCCTCATGCCCAAAGGCCAAGGGAGGGCGATGCGTGAGATGGCCTTTGGGGCTGGTCACTGGAGAGAATCCCTGTGTGTGGTGTGTTGGCAGCACGGGGCTGGTCCTGCTGAGGGTGAAGTGGAAGGTGTGGTGGCACGTGAGGGAGAAGAGCACCATCCCCAAGATCTTCCAGGAGACGGTCCGCAGGCACCCGGAGAAGACTGCGCTGATCTACCAGGGGACAGGCGAGAGCTGGACCTTCCGGCAGCTGGACGAGTACTCCAACCGCGTGGCTAACTACCTGCACGAGCAGGGCTTCCGCTCTGGCGATGTGGTGGCCTTGTTTATGGAGTCCCGCAACCAGTACGTGGGTCTCTGGCTAGGGATGGCCAAGCTTGGGGTGGAGACAGCGCTCATCAACTCCCACCTGCGCCAGGAAGCCCTGCTGCACTGCATCACCATCTCCCACTCCAAGGCTGTGATGTTTGGAGCAGAGATGATGGAAGGTGAGGAGCGTCTTGTGGGGGGGATCCCAGGTGGGTAGGTCACAGGTTCTTCCAGCTCTCCATTATTTCCCCACACCCACCACAGACCCCCAGGGAAGAGCCGCCACAGCAGTCTCTCCTGCTGTGGGACACCGAGCTGCTGTAAAGTGGCAAGTAGGGAAACAGCAGAGATCATTTTCAAGGCTGCGTTCAAATCCAGCCCTGGACAGTTGTGCCCGAGGGTCTGATTCTGCACTGAAACGGGATGATGTCAGTGTAAAGCAGGGCCTGAGAGTTGGCTATTGCTTGGTGGCTGTCTGGCCACTTCTGGTGGGTCTCCAACCAGTCCCCAACCAGCAGGTGTCCGCATCCCCTAAGCTGTCACTGGTGCTGGTCTCCACTGGCTGCCCAACTCTGAGTGTGCAGTGGGGCATGATTCTCATCCTGCTACTTGGTCTGTGGGGAGGAGAGCTGGGCAGGGCTGGAAATGCTGTCTGGGGCTTGCTCTGCTGCTGCTTCAGTGCTAAGGATAACAAGCAGAGGCCCAGGTAAGCCTGAGTTCTCCCTGTGAACATCTCTCTGCCAGTGGTGCCGCTTCCCCACCCAGCCAGAGTGCATGGGCACAGAGGGGAGTCAGACAGGAGACCAACAGAAAGCAAGTTCCTGTCCATGTGACAGTGGCGGCTGGCTGCTGCCTTCCTGCTTCTGAGGGGGACTCCTTCGTAAGGAACAATTTCCACCTTCCTTGTCTGGTCTCCTGTTGCCAAGATCTCTGCTGTCCAGTTCCAGCTTTTGTGAGTTTGTCCCACAGCTCCCAGCTCAGTGTCAGCAAACATCTGTTTTTACACCTGAGAGGCAGCAGGGCAAGAGAGTAAGGAAGCAGGGAGTGGGGTCTTCTGATGTATATGTGGTGTCCAAAGGCTATGGAGTCTACAGAGCCCTGGGCTGGGGCCAGCAGAGCCCAGCCAGGCTTGCCCTGAGTGATACTCTTGTGCTGGGCTGAAACTGTTTCATGGCATGAGTGCTCTGTGGAGCATAGGGCAAGCATTGCTGCTCCAGACCCACCCTGTGTGCAGCCTTCTTGGGAACACTAACTAGTCTCTGAGCCAGGTGTTCTCTTCGGTGGGTGGAAAACAGGTTGAGCCTGGAGAGAAGAGTGTAACATGAGCTTGGGTGTGTATGTACACATTAGTGCTGCGAGCCCTTTCTGACCCTCTCCCCAGGAATGTCAGCATGACGGTTCTTTCCTTGACCTGCTCTCTGCTTCCTCTCTAGCCATGCGGGAAGTGCAGCCCTCCATGAAGAAATCTGTGCGTCTCTTCTGCTCTGGGGAGTGGCACCAAGAATCTGCTCCCCTAGGAACAGAACACCTGGACCCCCTCCTCCAGGCAGCGCCCCGGCACCAGCCAAACCCCTCGGAGAAGGGCTTCCTCGGTACGTGTTACACAGCAGGCAGTGGGTTATCGAGCCTTTGGGAAGCTGCTTGTTCTGTTTCTGTAGTCTGTCCTCTCCTGCAGAGGTAGCAGAAAATCCCAGGACACTGGTACATGTTGCTGGTTCATCTGAGGCGAATCAGATCCAGCTGACATAAGGAGGGAAGAGCTGCTGTGAATGTCATGTACCCGTCTGCTGCCGCAAGGCATGGCATAGTGCTTAGCACGAGCTTGCTGTGGTGCCAGCCTGGCCATGCTCTGGGACACACTAGCCAGCTGAACCGGCACCTGGGACTCTTTTCTTGGCACTCTCCTGCAAGGACAGTGCAGGCCTGAACCTGCTTAGCTTGAGTAAGAATGCCGCGGGCAACCGCCGCTGTGCAAATGTGGATGATGGTTTTAAATGTGGTGCTGTGATGCTAGTTGCCAGGAAGTGTAAAAGTACCAAGTGAAGAGCATGCAGGTGCTCATGGGCCTGGCTTGTCCCATCAGACTGGGATCCCAGCCCCTTGGTAAACAGAGTACCCAGCACCTGGGGATGTATCACTGACTCCTCTCTCTGCCCACCAGATAAACTCTTCTACATCTATACCTCTGGCACGACGGGCTTGCCCAAGGCTGCCATCGTGGTGCATTGCAGGTAAGGTGGGGAGTGAATGCAGGGCTCAGAGACAAGTAGGCTCGGTGGGGTGGGACATAGTACTAGTCGCCTGTGAGTGCAGAGCCTCTGGGCTGTCCCTCTGGCCTGGCTGCTGACATGGCCCTTCCTCCCCTGCCCAGGTACTTTCGCATGTCGAGCCTGGTTTACTATGGATTCCGCATGAGGCCAGACGATGTGATGTATGACTGCCTTCCACTTTACCACGCAGCAGGTAAAGACCTGGCTTCATGCCTGGAGCCTCTGCTCATGCCTCCGCCTGTTCCAGAGCCTGTCCCCTTGACCAAAGCATCATCCCCGTGCTTGAGACATCATTCCCTGCTGCAGCCATGGCTGTTGTAAGCTGCCCCTGCTTCCTCCAGTGTATGCTGAGGAGGATCAGGCCTGTCCATGTCCCTGTTGCCCATCAAATATACGTAAAAGATTTCACGAGGCCCCTGGGTATCATGCTGCAGGACTAGGAACTGACACCAAGGCTGTTTCTCTGTTCAGCTCTAGGAGCTAGGCCAGGACACTGCTAGCATGGACTCAGTTCTGCTCCTGACTCATCTGCTGGCTCCTTCTATGACTGTAGGAGAGGGCCAGTCTCTGTGGGGTACTCACAGGACAGCCTGCCTCTGTAGGGCACTCTGAGACCTCTGGATGGCTGCTGCTATCCCACACCAAAGCATTAACACGGGGGGGTGGGGCTGTGAGTACCACAGGTGATGGTGCCATAGGTGAAATGCTGTTTTGAACAAGGGGATTAAAGATGAGAAATTCCCCACCCCTTCCCCCTCCAGCTGGGTTGCAGTTGGCATCAGTTGCCATCTCCCATGAGATGGCAAATCTCTCTGGCTCCATCTCTACCAGGAAACATCGTTGGGATAGGCCAGTGCCTGCTGCATGGCATGACCGTGGTGATCCGCAAGAAGTTCTCAGCCTCGCACTTCTGGGATGACTGTGTGAAGTACAACTGTACGGTGAGGCGGTGGGGGGTCTGGAGGACTGGTCCAGGATCCTTGGGCTGGTGAAGGTTGGGGCCTTGGATGTCCTTGCAAGCAGGGTCTCTGTTTCTCCCAAGTGGGGAGTGGGAGCTTGGTGCAGCCAGTGCTCTCGGATCCACTGAGGAGGGAGAGCAGTTAGTCCAGGCTAAGCACTATCTGTAGTGAGTGACGTGGGGAACACCAAGGCCATTGGTTTTTGCATGGGAGCCAGAGGCAGGAACTAAACATGAGTTGGCCAACAGGACATCTAGGTCCCATTCTTGGCTCTACCACTGACTTGCAGAGTGACTTCAGTCAAGTCTTTTCCCTGGACTGTGCTTTCAACTACCCACTTGCAGAATGGGGCTGTAGGTGCCAGTCTGTGCCCTAGTGTATGGGAGGGTGGGCACTAGCCTGGGGCCCTGAGCAGACCGGAGAGTGGAAGGGTACAGCAGGTCACACTTCCCATCCCTCCCACAGGTTGTGCAGTACATCGGGGAAATCTGCCGCTATCTCTTGAACCAGCCATACCAGGAGGCAGAGCGGCAGCACCGTGTGCGCATGGCACTGGGGAATGGTCTCCGCGCATCCATCTGGAGGGAGTTCATGGCTCGGTTTGGGATCCCCCAGGTTGCTGAGTTTTACGGTGCCACCGAGTGCAACTGCAGTCTGGGCAACTTCGACAATAATGTGAGGCCCTGCTCCTGCCTGGCCCTGCTGGGCGCTCCCCCTCTCCTCTTGGTTGCCAAGGACAGTTAGGAGGTCTCATTCAGACACATGACCTTCATGTTACTGGTGGGAACTCCATGATCCCTGCTCCAGGAGCTGCTCTGGCAGGCCAAGCCAGGATGGGTGGCTGAGAGCAGACTTGAGAGCTGGTGTCAGAAGCATCCTCTGATCCCGGGGACAGGGATGGAACAAAGGCTGTGTCTTTAGCCCTGTGGGCCCTCCAGCCCAATGTTTGCAGGGAATCCAGAGAGACCTGGGGCAGGTTCTCTGGTTGGTGGAGCAGCACCCCTCCAGCATTTCTGGAGACCAAGGCAGGATCCATCTCTGGGGGAGGAGGTTGCTGCTACAAGTCTGGGCAGAGAGGTTTGCTGGCTGCAATTGAGCTGCATCTCAGAGGCGCTTTTCTTTCAGGTTGGTTCCTGTGGCTTCAACAGCATGATATTTCCCGGTATTTATCCCATCGGTTTGGTGAGGGTGGACGAGGACACCATGGAGCTGATCCGTGGCCCAGATGGACTCTGCATCCGCTGTAAAACAGGTGAGGGCATGGAGGGGTGCCTGGGGAGCCAATCCCTGCTTGTACATCCCTCTGCCCTGACCTGTGCACCCCTGCCCAGAGGACAGCAGCACAGGAGTCTCTGTTTAGATGGGTGACCGAGTTTGTCTCCTTTCAGCCGTCAGTTCAGCAGAGACCAGACTCTGGCACAAATCCACAGCTGCCCAGTGCCCTGCATGAAATGAGTTCAGTAGTTCTCAGCCCAGGCCCCAGTTATCCATGTTCCTACAGTCTTTACTGTGGGGGGGACTGCCTCATCACTCTGCCAGCTGTGTCAGCAAGGCCAGGTACTTCATGGACCAGGCAGATGGAGCTCCCTTCAACCTTTGCACATCCCTCCAGAACAAATATGAGCCCTGTTGGGAGGACGATGTGGGGGAAGCTTACTGAGCCCATTGTGACGGGGGAGCCAGTATCCAGGGCTGTCAGTTCAGCTCCTTAGCACTGAGAGACTTGCATGCTAGAGACCCCATCCTTGCAAAGGTATTTCTTCCCTCCCACCCATGCCCCAGCTTGTGTGGAGGCTGGCTCTGTGCCTAACAGGTGCTCTCAGCTCTGTGTGCTGCTGTGTTTAAGGCAGTGTCCTGGCCATGACTGACCACATTTTCCATCTCTCTCACCCCACCGGCAGGGGAACCAGGGCAGTTAGTGGGCTGCATTGTTAGGAGCAACCCACTGCAGCACTTTGATGGGTACCTGAACCAGGCAGCCACCAGCAAGAAGATCACCCAGAATGTATTCTCCAAGGGTGATTCTGCCTATCTCACAGGTGAGAGAAGCACCCAACCTGTCCTGCAGCCCCTCCTGGCGGCAAGAGCTGGTGAGGTAGCATATGGCCCCCACTGGCCGATTCCCTGACTGCCAGTGGTGATTGCTTTATTAGCTTTGCCCACCCAGCCTAGTGATGTTGAGCCTCCCCTTCAGGCTGATGTGAACAATGTGAGCCATGGAGCAGGCCAGGAGCCTTATCCCCACTGGAAATATCAGGCACCAAAAGGGGAGATGATGGGTTCCAGGCCACAAAGCAAACCTGGTGGGAGAGTCCTGCTACACAGTTAAACTCAGGATGTTGCATTACCTGCTGGATCCAGCTTTCTCTGGGTTGCACAGGGCAGCAGAGAGCCAGTTGGCTCTGGACTAGTTCTGGTTGCAGCTTTGCCACTATCAGAGTCCCCTCTCTGTGCCATAGCCCTTCCCTCATTGCTGGCATGGCGAGGATGGTGGTGACCTGCTGCCAACAAGGGGTGTTGCAGCTGATGCATGTGGTGTGTGTTGGGTTCCCTGGGGAGAGAATAATCTAGAAAAGCAGAGCATCACACCAGCTCTGTCCTGGCAGTGCTGGAGCTAGTGCCAGAGGCTCTTTAACTCCTGCTGCCCTTTGTTGCTCTGCTTCCCCAGGAGACGTGCTGGTGATGGACATGTATGGGTACATGTACTTCCGAGACCGCACTGGGGACACTTTCCGCTGGAAGGGTGAGAATGTCTCCACAACAGAGGTGGAGGGGGCACTGAGCCGCATCCTCAACCTGGCTGATGTCGTTGTCTACGGAGTAGAGGTGCCAGGTAACTGGGATGAGAGGGCAGCTCTGCTTTTGCCAGTCTGCCTCTGTCTTTCATGCTGTGGCAATAGCTCTTTCCCCTTTGGCAGGTCCCTGCTGCAGGCCACAGCCTACTGATCCTTTCACATGGTATAGGGGTGAACAGGACCCAGAGTAGCAGAGCTGCCCATGGGCCTGCACAGGACAGCTGTCTGTGATCCTGCATGTGGTGGTAAATTTGGTGGCTCCCCATCGCCCAAGCCCCTGTCCCAGCTGGCACTTCTTACTTTTCTCAGCAGAGAAGCCAAGAACCAAGTGGGCCGTGGAGCATTGCCTTCTTGCCACTAGTGGGTTCTTCCACTTCTGGTCTGAAGTACACTGGGCAGGACTTTGAGGGGGAAGCTGCTAACTATGTTTCTGTGGATAGATGTGGGGCATGGGTCTGAAGGGTGGGTTCGCAGCACCAGTGTTCACAGAGAGAAGTGGCTGTGGTGGGAGAGTCAGAAATCCCAGACAAGAGGTAGGTATGTGAAATAGCTTAGGTGAGAGAGAGTGTCGATGTCAGCCCATGTTCTGGACCTGGTTTCCTGCCAGTGGGTGGCTGTGATGCTGTCTCTTTCATCTGGTTAAACTCCACCTGACGTGGGTGTAAGTGGACAGGAGGGGCTTGAACTCAGTGAGAAGCATCTCTAGGGGCAGGAGGTGACCACTGGGTGTCGCTGGCACCCCTTGCCCTGTGGGGCTCTGGCATTCAGCCTCAGCAGAAGCATAGCCAGTGGTAGAGGAGTGAGAGACTGGGCCCTCCCTGCAGGTGTGCCCTATTCTGAAGATGGGCTAATGACAGGGTGGTGCCATGGAAGTACCTTTGGCAGACTGCAGTGGATGTGTTGGGGTGCGGGGAAAGCCCTAGTGGTATCTGTCATGGATATAGTTAAGGTGACTGGTGGAGCTGTGTGCATTGCCTGGACTTCTGAACCTGCTACAGAAGGCCTAGCACTCCTCCACCACCTTCTGGAATATGTGGGGGAGATGCCTTGTTTGTCATGTCCATCCTTAGGCTGCTGGCCTCACCTATTCAGGCAGTTGCATCCCCGGCCAGCTGAAGTTCTTAGCTGGCCCAAACGGATGGGGTGATATTGCACCAGACCCCTCCTGCCCCTTACATCACCTCCTCTGCTATGTTCCAGGCATGGAGGGGAAGGCGGGCATGGCGGCCATTGCTGACCCTGAGAATTCCTGCAACCTGGAGAGCTTCATCACTGAGCTCAAGAGGGCCCTGCCCTTGTACGCACAACCTGTTTTCCTGCGGTTCCTGCCAGAAGTCCACAAGACAAGTGAGCCCTCCCTGGCACGTGTGTCAGGGCAGCTTCATCTATCCTTTTCACAATGTGGAGGGAGATGGGGTGGGAGTGATGCCCTGGGTTCTCCAAGGGTGTCTGGGGAGTTTCCCCTTCCAGTAAGAGGAAGAGAACCATAGTGACCTCCTAGGTAAAGTGCCTGGAGATCTGCTGATAAAACCTCATCTCTTACTCAGCCTTATTCATCAGATGCTTATGTCAGACATTTAGACAGACACTTAGCGGGGGTGGTTTAGTCAGGGATGATCCTGCCTTGAGCAGGGGTCTGGTCTAGATGACCTTTTGAGGTCCTTTCCAGCCCTACTTTCCTATGATTAGAGAAGAAGCCCAGGAAGTCAGGACTTCTGGGATCTGCTCCTGGTACCGATTCACTGTGTGACTTAGCTGAGGTGTTTGCACTTCCCAGTCTATAGCTTCCCCATCTATGAACTTAGGATATTCTGACCCTCCCCACATGGACTTGTGAGATGTAATTCATTAATGCTTGGGGATTCGCCATTGAAAGTTGCAATGGAACTTTACTGATCTGCTTGGTTTTTCAGCCAAATATGGTTTTTGGATGCTTTTCTTCATTCCACGTGCCTGCACGCTAGCTGTGGTGGAGCTTGCAGGATGGCAGAGAATCAGTGTATCCTGTGCATGCTGGCTGAACAGCTATGTGCTCAAGATGGCTGTCAGCAGAATTAGGCTGGAGCTGTAGGGATGGGCTCTGCTGTCTTGAGAATCACGTTCTGAGCTTCCCAGCAAGTCTGATCTATGGCACAGTCCCACTAGCCCAACTCCCCAACATGTGATCCTGTTAGTGGTGGTCAGAAGAACTGTGCTAATACAGCTCAGTCCCACTCAGGATAGCACTGACCTTTGCTGGGGAGGCTTGCCCTCACATAAGAGGTTGAAGAGTCTTTCACAGCATTGGTTCATGGGAGAAGTCTTCTACGTCAGGCAATAGACTCATGCTTTACCGTACTAAGATCCCAGATTTGGTCCTAGCTCCTGACAGCCTTCCCCATGGTGTGGAGAAGGATCCCCCATAGCAGTAGTAGTGTCTGCAATCCCCACTTCAGTCTTGGTGAGGCAGGATCTTACAAAGGGTGGGAGTAGGAAGGCAGGGGCGGGTACCTGTGAACTGCAGCCATGGAGTGAATGGTTCCCTGCTACCTCTGACTTTCACCCTTGCTGCTTCCACCCAGGCACCTACAAGTTCCAGAAGACGACTCTGCGCAAGGAGGGTTTTGACCCCACGGTGGTGAAGGACACACTGTACTTCCTGGACTCTAGGCAGGGCCGGTACCTCCCTTTGGACCAGGAGGCCTTCACAAGAATCCAGTCAGCACAACAGAAGCTGTAACTAGTGAGAGTCTGTTGGCCACCTCCCCCTGTCCCTCTGCTGCAATGGGATGGAGTGGGCAATAGGAAAGAAAGGGTTAAAGGATTATAATGAAGGGCATGCTAGGGCTTTTGTTTTTATGAGTTTTAAAGGTAAAGGTTCAGGGGACTGGAGAGGGGGAAAGGTGACATACCAAAGCATAGCATCATTATGGCTTTATTTTCTATTCTGTACAACAGTAGCCCCCTGGGGATGTGCGCATGGGGTCTTCAGTTCACCTATGGCCAGCCAGTGCATGTGCCATGGGGGCTGTGGGAGCCACCATGGAGGAGGAGGGAGGTCACCTGCTGCCCATGGGACTCTGATTCCAGGTTTTTCTTGCTTGCTTGCTTTCTCTCCCTGTTCTGTGGATGCTGCTAAGTCCCAAAAGGGCTGGTGACAGCAATTCCTCATGAGGGTCTCCTGGGAGTGATGCTGTGCTTGCCCTTTCTCAAAGCATCCAGCCTATGGGAGCCTGGCCCCTGGCACTGAACCACTCAGCTGGGTGGGGACCAAAAACATTGACCCCCTTTGCAGGCTGCTGCTGCAGCTCCACAGTTGAGGAAGGGGAGAGGGAGCAGAGCAGTCTGGGGGTCCAGGGGAGGGACAGGTTTCCCTGCCATGCCTCACTCTTCCCAGGGGTCAAACTTTTCTTTCTTTCACACTCATGTGCATATCTATATATATCTATATATCTATATATATCTATATATATCTATATATATATATACACATCACCTATATCCATTGATAT